ACATCACGACAGGAGGCCTGCTGCAGTCTTCGGCCTCTTGGGGGCCTCTGGCGCAGGCCCCCAGACGGTCAGAAAAGTACCCACGGCACCTGGCATGATAGGCCTGTCCCATGGGAGTGTTCGGGACCTCCGGGGTGAACAAGAGCGCAGCGTCGGGGGTCCGTGTCGATGCCGAAGCCCGCTGGGCTGACTTGAGCCATATCCTGTGGCCGTCCTGCGAGACCCAGAGGTCCGACGTCTTGATTTGTACAGCGCGGGGTCCCAGGAAGTCCCAGCCCCTGTCCCTGGGGCCAGCGTCACTCTCTGACGGCCCAGGAGCCTGGTGAGGGCCCACAGACGCCGAAAACGGCGAACGAGAATCCGCCGTGAAGATTTGGCAAGTGCGCTCCAGGCCTGAGGGGACCCGACACCAACGGGCGAGGACGACGATGACGAGGACGAGGGCGAAGGCAGGGACGATACGTTTACGCCTCCCCAATGGGGTCTGAGCAGATGGGGTCGGAGGATCGCGCCGTATCGCCGATACATCGCGATACGGCTCGATGCGGAGCCCGATCTTCTCCACGCCGACGTCGCCGATACATCGCAAACGCCGCCCATGCATCGACTCTGAATCGGCGATGCATCGGCGATGCGGCCAGATCCCCCGACCCCATCTACTCGGACCCCGTCTAGGAGGCCTCTCATAGGGGACCACAAGGGCGGAGGGCACGACAGGAAAGGGCGCGCTCGCGTGTGGCTGCGCCCTGCGGCCCGGCGGGTCGACCACAGCAAGCAGGACTACCTGCCGGCGCTTCTGCGCCTGGAGAGGACGGCCATGCGATCGACAACCAGTGAAGAAAGAACCACCACCAGCAGCTAGGGGGGCTGGCTGCTTTCCCCCCGGAGCAGGTGGCATCCCGTTCTGGGCGCGCCCCAGGAGAATGCCCGGAGCGGAGTGCCACCAGCTCGGTGGCTTTGGCCAATGGGAACAGAGTTCTATGGAATTTTGGTGGTGGTGGTGGTGGTGGCTCTTTATTTGGCTGTCATGGATCCCCAGCTTTCCAGGTGGCACCCCGCCTTTCCGGGCGCTCCCCGCGAGAGCGCCCGGAACGGAGTGCCACCATCTTGGGGGGCTTGGCCATGGGGAGCGTAGTTCTATGGAAGCTTGGTGGTGGTTCTTTTTTGCTGCCATGACTCCCCGGATTTCCAGGTGGCACCCCGTTCTTTTTTGCTGTCGTGAATCCCCAGGCTTCCGACGATCCCATTTTTTTCAATCCCTGCGCTGCGCTGTGCCTCGATTTCTCGGCCTCTGGGGCTCGTCCTCGGGCTCCAGACCAGCAAGATCAGTTCCGGTGCGGAAGACTGCCCCTTGGGGAAGGGCTCGGAAGCTCCGGGGCCGCGGAAAATATCATGTCATGCCACCCTCGCGGCCTGGACTCCGAGGCGCGGTCCCGCGACGCCGTGGATACGTTCTGCGCGGGGCGTCCGCCCGCAACTCCGCCCTGTGTCCGTGGTGTCGCTGCCGAGCAGTCCAGGCCGCGGGGCCGTGGATGTGGGCGTGTTCAGGGCGCCCCTTCCCCGCAGGGCGTTCCTTCCCTGCAGGGGGCCTTCACCCTGGGGCGCAGTCAACCTCTGCCGCGAGGGCTGGGGCTGGGCGGCTAGCTGTGGTACTCAACCCACGGGGTCGCTCTACCCAGTGAAAGAAAGGCGGGAAGGTCACTCAGGGGAGGCGGCCGTGAGGGTTTTCATCGCCGCCGAGCTTGCTGACACGCCGAGTGGGCAATTCGGTGCACCATAGCTAGGTACACGGGACCCTTTTCTTCGGACGAGACGTCTGTCAACCCAGTCAGGCTTGTCCAGCGAGGGCATCGGCTTCGGTCTTTTTTGCTAATTTCGTGCACCCGGGGATCTTCGGTCCAGGGGCATTGGCTTGAGTCCTTCGCTGGGGACTGGGCTTGGGGGCTGGGCGGGAGACGTGCCGTTGTCTCACGTTGTCTCAACCGGCCTCCGAGACGCGGCCGTCCCTTCTCTAGAAGCCCCCCCTGTCCTCTCAGGAGGCCCCCCCCCCGAAGCACCGCCCTCCAGGGTTCATGTCGACCTGACCGATACGGTACGATACCGAATTCGGCCGGCCCGATCCGACCTGGTTCCGGCGTTCCGACGATCGGATGTCTCCCCAGCGTTGTTGTGCATCTTGGCGCGGACGATTCGATCAGACTCCGACTGCGTGGCGATGCGGCCGGATTTGGCGCTCATTCCGATTCGATCCGAGGGCTGGGCTCATGCAGCCGGGCTGCGTCGTCTTCGCCGACAACGTGGGCGTCTTCCGACTGGAGGCCTACATGCGCTACGTGCGCGAGTGCGGGCTCTACAGCAGCCGCTACGTCAGGCCCTTCGCTCCAGCCTCACGTCACTGGGCGGGGAGGCCGCAAGGGGCCCGTGCCTATGGAGTGAGGGGGGAGGGAGCAAGGGAGGGGAGATGGTCAGTTGCACGAGGAGGAGGAACCAGGGTGGCGAACTTTCGAGGGGATCGGGAGGACGGGGGGGAGCAGGGGATCCAGCAATGACACGGTGATCCTGTAGCGATAAGGTGACCCAGTGACGATATGCTGCACTGGTGCGCATTCATTGTTCATACAATTTTGAAAGCATGAATTCTAACATGTTGACTCACAAACACGGAATGGAGAAAACGCATGTCAGTAACGTGAACGCTTTTCACCAGATAAGCATATCCCCACCATTGGCGCGCATCGAGACATTGGATTATTTGCGTGTCGGTCGTGTTTGTCTTGCATGTCCGTTAGCCACGAACCTGGTGATTAACCAGTATATGCGGCGGTTGGAAAGTTTTTCAAGCCGAGCAGCACAAAGACACTGAATGTTTCCTGACACATAAGCACACACATACGCACTGTGAACTGTGAACCTAATGGGGAAATCCGCAGACTCAGGCTGAGCCTCTCCGGAGCCTGGGCAGACACCCTTATTCAGCTGCCTGTGGCGAACAAAGCCCCCCTGGCCAGCGCAGCATCGAGTTGCATGTACTTGCTCCTGCTCCTCCCCTTTCTCCTCGTGCCCCCCACGACGTGTTTTTTTCATAACGTGGGCCCCCAGCGGTCTCGACCATTCCCAGGTACTGGTTTCTCATCCCAGGTAGTTGACTGTCCTTCTCGCAGCCTGGTGAGGGACCCTAAGGTCGCAAAATTAAAAAACAAAACACAATCCGCCGAGATTTACACGACGCGACTGGGAGCTGATCCTCCTCCTCCTCCAATATTGCCTACCTGTTGTTGGACGCAAATTCAGCAGCTCGCTCTCATGGGGTCGAGCAGTCCACTGCACTCCGAGGCCTTCAACGCCTCAGGAGCCTCCGATGAAGTCATCCATCACAGAAGTTCTCCCATCGCCAAGTCGGAAGCGGGACCGCGCGCAACTTCCACTTGCGCTCCAATCCACATGTCAAATTGGGCCACACTTGATCCCCATGTTGAGGGATGAAGCGTGGGACTGGGCGGGGCCCGCTGACCCGCTCGACCTGGCTAACTTATTCGGGGTTGGACAGACCTCCGAACAGTGACACGTCGATTAGTGAGTTGTCCGTTTTCGGTTCTCGAGAGGGCGCCGCGGCCGTCATTTTCCAGGCTTGCGCCCGCCAGGTTTGGGCCCGAGGTCGTTTTCACTAAACCACGTTTTACTAAAGGGAGGTCTGTCCATCCCCGACTTATAACTGTCCTCCTTCTCTTCCATCCTCTCCGCTGCTGCGGATATCTCGTGATTTCTCGATCTGCCTCTCCTAGAGGCCTTCGCGTCATAAGTCGGCTTTCCGGCGGCCGTTCGGGACGATCAGAGCACCCTTGGAAACATGTCGGCGAGACGCAGCCGCTGGAGAGCACCCCGAGGTTGGAAAGCCGCCGAGAACCGACGAGCACGTCCGAAGACTTCGAATCTCGAACCCCCGTCTCCCCCTGTCGCCCCTCCTCTTTCCTAGACCCCCGACGTCATGTGTTTTTTCATAATGTCGACCCCCAGAGATCTCGATGCATTCCCAGGGATCAGCTTTTAATCATGAGCCTATTTTTGACGGTCCGAGTCCCGGGTAAAGGCCCCCGGAGGCCGAAGATGGCGAAACAGATTCTGTATCGATTTGTTTTATGAATCGACTGGGTTTGGGCATTAGCCGTCGTTCTTTTGGGTCGGCGGGGCTTCCTTGGGGGGCCCGCAGCGCCTCCGTCGAGTACGCGCCGCTGCTGCCCTACGTGCCGCTGGGCCCGGACGGCGAGCCCCAGTCGCGGGTGGTGCCGGACGGCGTGGAGATCTCTGTCTACTCGCCGCCAGCGAAAAAGTCGGCGAGGGACCTCTGCATCCTGGAGTCGGCTGGGGGTCTGAGGTGGCCCAGCTCTCGTACTGGCCAGCAGGGCAGGTTCGAGGTGCTCGGTTCGACAAGTGAACAACTTCACCGGGACAGGGACCGATTTTGAGCGGATTTGCCGCCATGGCCTCCCTCGTGACTTTTTTCTCGGGGCCCATCCAGCTCAGACCCCCTGGCCGCCTCACACTCGCCCTGTCTTGGGGCCCGGCGCCATCACAGATCGATCCGGCCCGAAAAATGCAGCAAAAAGAGGGGGTCGTCGTGATCTCCGTCTATTCGCCACCAGCGACAATCGAGGAAGAACAGTTGCGCACATGAACATCATCTGTCGGAGGTTCATGCAGATTTCTTGGATCGGCGCTGGGCCCCCCTGGCGGCGCCTCAGGCACCGCCCCTGGACGCCCTTCCCTGGCGCACGGAGCGCGCCATGGGCGGTGCCAGAGGCGCCGCCAGGGGGCTGGGCGCCGATCCAGGAAATCCGCGCGGACCTCCGACAGTTTCTGTTTCTGCCGCATGTTGCACCTTCCAAGAGTCGGCGAGGGACTCTTTTCATCCTCTTCTCCATCACTTTTGCCGCAGTCATTTGTTCTCGGAGATTGAGCCAGCGGACTGTTCGCCAAGCATTCGTCAAAGGTCTTGCCGCCGCGGTGCGTCATGTGTATGTTTGGTCGGCTAGGCCACAGGGATATCCACACAGCGCCGTGCTCTTATTCAGCTTTGCGAGCGGTCGGGGGACATCGTTAGCCGGTACCGAAAATGTGTTCTCGGAGATGGATCGGGAGCCCCCACCCTGCGCAGTCGATTAGCCAGTTACCCTCGGTTCTCCAGAGAGTGCTGCGACCGCAGTGTCTGTGGGTCTGCGCCCACTGGGTCTGGCTCCGCCTCATTGTTCACCAAGGGGAGTTTGCGAAAGGGGGTTCTGTCCACTCTCGGTACGGTGGGGGTCGTTTGTTTTCAGGGATGTGCCTAGGAGGTTTCAGTCATCGAGAACAAAAGAGCCTCTAACCCTGATCACGCGATGGCGAGATGGCCTCACTGAGGCCCCCATCTTCGCATTAGGGATAACAGACATGGGCGGCTTGGCTTGAGGCATCTGCAGAAAAGACCCCCTATCCCTAATGTTTTTGGCCCTCCTGACGTAGGTCCCCTCCAAACGGGTTAGGGGTACATGTATTGCTTATCATTCATACCCTGGAGGATTCCTTATCTAAGAGGGCGGCGGTGAGATTCACGGCCAGACCACGATTGGAGTTCCACTAGCTCCCAGACCCTGGATTCCTTCTCCAGGGGCTACTTATCCGATGCCATCACCGAAGTTGTCTTGCGTTGCACGTTTTCCAGACCGGCCAGATTTCACAGGCCGCGGCCTCGCCCACCTGGTCTCAGCTGGGCCATGGCGGTGGTCCGCTTCGGTGGCGATCGTTCGCTCGCTGGCGGGGGACCAAGACTCCACAGGAACTGACTTTGTCCGATCCCATCGTCGTTCGTCCATTTTCAAAAGCGAAAAAGCACATACACCAATGATCGTCGATTCCCAGGAAAATATCAGAAACTGTGGGAAGTGGAGGGGGGGGGAAAACGAAAGTCCAGAACATACTATTCAACATGTGCGGGATCTTGGGATTTGTGCCTATGTATTTGTGTGTCCCTGGGCCCCTTCACACTTCCTCCTCGGGGGGGCTGCCTTCGGGGCCCGGGGAGACCAGAAAGGGATCCGGAGCGAAACATTGCCCGCGGGGGAGGGGTCAAGAGTTCTGGGGCCCACGGATGGAGAGAAGCAGTCGCTCGGGTGCCTGAGGACGACGATGTGCCGCGTCTTTCGCTGCGGGGGGGGGAGGGTTCCACACCACGCCGCTGTCGATGGGGGGGGATGCTCTGCGCTCGGCGCAGGAGGATCGTCTGAAAGAGGTCCCGGCGGCGTCCTGCATGCTCGCTTCTCGCCGCCAGCGGAGGAAAGGATGGCGGCGGCGCCGCTGGCAGAGGTCCTCGGGGCCCCCCCAAGCGGGGGGCGCGCGAAGATGGCGGCGCGGGAGCACTATAAGATGATCGCGCGCTCCGTCGTGTGCTTTACCGCTCGTTCCTCACTTGATCCGCGGGGCTGTTGATTTTGCGAAGCCCCCGAGCCCGCTTTTCAAAGCCTTCACGCCCATGGGTCCTTGGCGCGGGGCTTGCGAGGATCAAGGGCCAGTGCGGGCTTGCGGGAAGCCGACCTCTATAAGGGCGTGCGTGCTGTGGATGCCGTAGTTCGACGTATGGCTTGGCTGCTTGTTTACAGGATTGCGTACTGCCAGAGCCTGCATTATGTATGGAGTCATTGATTCGTTTGTTCATGCCTGGCTTGTTTAGATTACCGACCCGGATATGACAGCACTTGGCCTCAGCAACGTGCCCAAACGTGACCACTGCTTAATCTAAAGTGTTCAACTGTCCACATCTACATGGCCCATTGCGTTGTTGTTGGTTGTCTGGCTTGACCATCTGCTTCTGGTCGGGACTGTCCGCCGTGACAATTCAGCGCGTGGTATGCTTGAGGGAGGTCGGCTTCGCAGTGTCAGATGGTTTCGATGCCTTGCCCTTTGACTTCTCCAGACGCCGGATCTAATTCCATGGGGCGTGCACGGAGTGTCGCGCACGCGCTATACCAGGTAACGTGGAGGTATCGTGATTGAATGCAGTTCCGATTCCGTGTCGAAGGTCCAACCCTTTCTCCTGATCGGCAAGCCGATTGACCGAGTGTGCGTGCGTGCGTGCGTGCGTGCGTGTTGGTTTCGCCACGCGCGTTTGGTATGAAAGTGCGATCTTGCAGCCAGGACCCCCATTTGTCTGTCCAGACGTGTACATCTGCTTGCGCTGGGAGGAGCCAGGTGGCCGGGAGAAGGCACGTTCGGAACGTCTGCAGAATTAGGTCACCGCGCCGTTTGTGCCGACGCGCCGCCCTACGTCTTGGGGAGGGCGCCGCGGGCACCAGGGCAAACTCCGCCTCGGACGTGGGGCTTGCCGTGGGGTTTGCCGCGGTGTTGGGGTCGTCTGCGCGGGTGCGGGGCGCAGGGCTTGCCGCAACTTCGAGGACAAACGGCGCGGCGACATGTGCTCGTTCTCCGCTCTTCTCAGAATCAAAGTTTCAAAGGATTGTTCTGCAGTTGAGCTCTCGAACGGATCGATCGTTCATATCCGAGGGCCGCCGCGCGCACCCGATGAGAAGCCACGCGCGGAGGGAAGTTGGGGGAGGGGGGAAGGCTGCTTAGAAGCACTTTGCTTCTAAGAAGCCTTCCCCGTTCCCCCTACCCCCCTGTGCACGCCGCCAGTATAACATGTCTAGGTGGGAGCAGCAATGGACGGAATGAACCTGGGCGCGGCCGACCACCGGCAACGTCCACGACCTCGATCACCACGACCACGTGAAAGATCACAGCAAAGACCGCCACGACGATGACGACCACCACCACGACGACAACAACCACCGCGGCCGAGGCCACGACAAAGACCACTAGGACGACGGCGACAACGACGACGACGACGACGACCGCGTCGACTAGCAGGGACGTTCCTGTTTCTTCGCGCTTGACGTGGCGATGCTCCCGCGCGACCGCGGGTACTCTCGCAGACTCGAAGGCAGCCCCCGTGCCCCCAGACTCGATGTTGATTGGCTTTGACCGCGTGGTGCAGCATCTTGGCCAGCCAGGCGATCGGCAAAATCGCGCCGAGGACCGTCATTGCAGTCAAACCGCATCGCGGGGACAAGCTACTTTCCAAGGGTTCTGGTAACTATTCATCCCTTGGTCACTGGCCATGAGCTTCCAACCTCTGCTCCAATTCGGGCGTTCGAGGCCCATGCACCGTCACCGCGCACCACTATGGACCTGACCGCACTGCGTGAAGTCGGGAACCTCGGCAGAGCGACAACAATCAAGATAAGCGGTGCAGGCTGTTGTCCGTCAGCACGGGTACGAGGACTCCGCGGCGCGCCAGGGGGGGCAGCGAGAGGGAGCAGGCCTTCTCAGAAGGCGGCGGCGCTTCTCAGAAGCCTTCTGGCCTTTCTGAGAGGCCCCCTTGTGTCTTCGGAGAGAGCTCAGGAAGCTTCTCAGAAGGCCGGAGGTCTACTGAGCCTTCTGACAAGGCCCGGCCCCTCCGCCTATCCCCCCTGGGCGCGTTGTCGAGATGTTGCCCATCAGCACGGGAACGACGACGACGATGTCATTATTATCAGCATCACCACCACCATCATCATCAGCAGCATCATCATTACTAGTATTACTATTCGTATTATTATCATCATCGTCGTCATCACCACCATCCATCATCATAAGCATTACCATTATCATCATCACTCTCGTCCTCATGATGCTCATCATGCTCCTCCTCTTCGTCGCCGTCTTCGTCGCCGACGCCGTCGGCGCGCTGCAGCTGGGGGGACCTTTTGAGCTGGCGGGGCGCCTCGGGCGCGCAGCCCGCCCGCTCTTCACTCGAGGCGGCCTGCCCGTCCGCCCCGCGCCGCCTCTCCGGCGGCCAGCGGCCCGCCGCCCCCCCGCTCCCTCCTGGTGCCCCTCCTCCTCTTTTTTCTCATATTGTAGTGGCCTCAGGCCAGTGCCGCCGATCGGAGGCGCTCCGGATGATGCTGATGATGATGATGCTGATGATGATGATGATGATGATGACGGCGATGACGATGACGATGACGATGACGATGACGATGATGATGATGATGATGATGATGATGATGATGATGATGATGATGATGATGATGATGATCACGATGACGATGACGATGACGATGACGATGACGATGACGATGACGATGACGATGATGATGATGTTGATGATGATGATGATGATGATGACGATGACGATGACGATGATGATGATGCTGATGATGATGCTGATGATGATGATGATGATGATGACGATGACGATGACGATGACGATGACGATGATGATGATGATGATGATGATGATGACGATGACGAGACGATGACGATGACGATGACGATGACGATGACGATGACGATGATGATGA